TCTGTAAGCCCAGGTGATTAATTGACTATCAAAGTGGTGGATTAAAAAATTCTTGACTTCTGCAAGGGCTGGAGAATTGGAGTCTGCTGCGTAGAAGGGGAGGGAGGAAAAGCAACTTACTGGGATGTAGGTTGGAGATGATAGGTGAGAAGGAGCTTTAGGAACTCATGTTTGGCCCTAATAAGAGGGTTTTGTTTGTTTGTTTGTTTTACCCTGGGAAAGCACACTATTTCAGGCTCTCTGTGTTGGCATCCCCATCAGAGCTAGTATGTAATTGTATTTCATGATAACAAGACACCGTGAGGTACCACCTCACACCGGTCAGAATGGCCACCATTAAAGTCCACAAATAGTAAATGCCAGAGAGGGTGTGGAGAAAAGGGGGCCCTCTACACTGTTGGTGGGAATGTAAACTGGTGCAGCCACTATGGAGGACAATATGGAGGTTCCATAAAAAGCTAAAAATGGAGTTACCATATGATCCAGCCATCCCACTCCTGGGCGTATATCCAGAGAAGACTCTAATTTGAAAAGACACATGCACCCCGATGTTCACAGCAGCACTGTTTACAACAGCCAAGACATGGAAGCAACCTGAATGTCCATTGACAGATGACTGGATAAAGAAGATGTGGGGTGTGTGTTGTGTGTGTGTGTGTGTGTGTGTGTGTATACTACAATAGAATATTACTCAGCCATAAAAAGGAATAAAATGCCATTTGCAGCAACATGGATGGACCTAGAGATTATCATACTAAATGAAGGAAATCAGACAGAAAGACAAATACTATATGATATCACTCATATGTAGAATTTTAAAAATAACACGAACTTATTTACAAAACAAACTCACAGACACAGAAATCAAATTTATGGTTACAGGATGGGGGGAAGGGGGGGAGGGGTGGAAGGATAAATTAGGAGTTTGAGATTAGCAGATGCAACCTACTATATACAAAATAGATAAACAAGAAAGTCCTACTGATCTCACTCACTGATTATACCAGCCTGTCCTCCCCTTGGTCCCTTGACAGCCTTTGGTCTCTTTTTTGAATAATTTCTTCAGACTCCTCAACTATACCCCCTGGCATGACAGTCATAAAAGGTGGAAGACAAAGTGAAACCATGATTGATCAGCTAGTGTCAAGTTAAAAACAAAACCGAATCATTTTGATTCAATATTAACAGCTAACAGTTACCAGTAGTTTCAGTAAAAGTCATGCATTGTTCTTGGTGCTTTTCAGGCTTTCTCCCAGTGGAGTCCCAGAACAGCCTGATGAGGGAGGTAGGGTGATCTCAGTTTTGCAGGTCTTAGTGGCTGAAGCAAGGAAGCCTGGGGCTGCAAGCTAGTAAGTGGTGGAGTTACAACCAGGGTGGAGACCTGAGATGTCTGAGCAATTATCTCATCTCTGCTTTACAGCAGACACACAACCTAATTCTCTAGCAAACTAAGATCAAGGAGATAAAATGTCCCTCCCTGAGCTAAGCACTTTGAGAAATAGGATATTAACACTACATTCACCCTCACTTCCCTGCCCCGCGCCCCACCCCACCCCCAGGGTCTGCATTTTTGCAAACAGCTAACCGGTCCTCCCTTCTGCAGGGCGACTCCGGCGGTCCCCTGGTGTGTATGAAGGACAACCACATGACCTTGGTGGGCATCATCAGCTGGGGCCTCGGCTGTGGGCAGAAGGATGTTCCAGGCGTGTACACCAAGGTTACCAATTACCTGGACTGGATCCGAGACAACACGCGTCCATGACCAGGAGCCCCCGGGCTCCCTGAAGCATGAGACCCTGCTTCCCCCAGCAACGAAGTCGCACCAAGGCTGCCGCTTGGTCACACGGATTTCTCCAGCAGCCGGCACACCGCCCTCGTGGGGGAGGGGGAGGGGGGATTTTCACAGGTTCTTCCCACTTGGAAGTTTTCAGCGCTCAGGTCTGAAATGCACTCGGTCAGATGGGAAGGCGGTGCCAACCGCTCCGGGGCACCACCATACAGGGCCAGGCCCACCTCCTCCTGTCAACGTGAGCTGCTTTAGGAAGGGGACCGCACAGATGGAACCACGTCTCCGCAAAGATAACTAGATCTTTTCAGGGAAAAAAGGGCTGCATTAGGAATAGAAGGTCTATTTATGGTCACCAGGGAGCCCAGCAGGGGCCTCCTAATAAGGGCTGGGCTGGCTGGCCAGATCATGCTTCTTACATCTAGTCTCTAAATCAAATGTCAGGCTTTCCCTCGCTCCAGCTCCAGCTCTTGGAAGGAAGTCCGGTTGTGTACAGTGTAGTTCTTTTGTTTCTCTTCATAAGCCTCTTAATAGAACAGGAGACGTGTATCATTTTAATAACTGATAAAGTAGGCTTTATATCAATCCATCTTTGTTCTTCCTGTTGCCACAACCTGTGTGATATTGTACTGGTATAATAAATTCGGATATATTTTTCACATATTTTCCCAAATCCGAGTGGAATCGTTGTTATGTCCGTGGCATCCACACTCTTTTATTCTTGAGACTCGTGTCCACGTTCTCTGAATCACTGGGAATATTTCCTTTCAGTCATTCAGAATCCCCGCAGCATACGAGGCACTGCGCTTGGTGCTGTGGACAGTGAAAAGGGGGAAGCAAGGGACTCTTGGTTTGATAGGAAAATTCGGTATTTAGAGAAATAACGAGGCAGAATGGAGATGGACCGCAAAATGGCAGAGAGAAGGTTTTCAGGAAATTGAGCTGCAGGAAGCATTCAAGGATCTTAAGGGAAAAGTAGAATTTGGTCGGCTTTTCAAACATGGGGCAAGAGCTGGGCTGATGGAGAGGTGTGGGACAGGCAGTCTGGAGGCAAGGAATGTCACTGCATGAAAATACGAGTCCCCAGAGCAGAAAAGTCAGGGGAGCGTGGGGAAGAACAGGGTGGGCCAGTTTGTCGGAAGTTAAGTTCATGCAGAAGCGCTTGGGTGGAATTACGGCGCTTTGAATGCCATCTGAGTTTTGGACTTACTTCTGTTGGCAACAGGGAGCTGAGAAGACACTGACCATGACCTTACTAACACAGCCACACCCCAGTTGGTGGTTCAGACTGGAAGCAAGTATTTGGGCCATTTTTTCCCCCTTCCATTCTGTTTTGCTTTTCTGCTCATCAGAAAGAATTAACTCCCAGACCAGTCCACACAAGTATGTTTCTTAAGGAATGCTGCTGTCTGCTTCTCTTCAACTACTTTCTTAGTCACTCTTGAAATCCATCCCACACAACTGGCTGGTGCCTGACAGTGTTTATTATCACTGACACCCCAGAATCGTGTCATGCTTGCTGTTGGGTGCGTGTTGAAAGCTCTTTGGAGGAAAAAATGTGGTCGTAGCGGTCTCTCTCTGTCTCTGTCTCTGTCTCTGTCTCTGTCTCTGTCTCTCTCTCTGTCTCTCTCTCTCTCTCTCTCTCTCTCTCTCTCTCTCTCTCTCTCTCGGCTGTCAGAACTGCTCAGCTTAGCGGTCCTTAGAGGAAAAGTAGTTCCAACCCACAAAAGAAAGCAAGCTTGATTCAGGGGGGTAAACACCAACTTCCCTGAAATGCTCAGTCCCTAGACCAGTTCAATAAATGCAAGTCATGGAAACTGAAGTCACAGATTTGACTTTAGCCTGCTCCAAGTTCCCCTGTGAAAGTGGCAGATTTTGTTTTAGGTAGATGTACATCTCAGCCGTTTGGGGAAAACGTTGCTGGAGGACGGCAGTAAGACCCCCGGCTGCTGCATCTCTGGCAGGAATTCGGCTGATTTCATCCCCTCCTCCTTTGCATGACAAGCTTTTCTTCAGATAGTTGGGTCAATGAAATGAACCGGAGCAGTAAGGCCTCCTTTGATGGAGACGCAAAGTTAAAAGGCTCCGACATTCCTCTGAGTGAAGTCCTGGAAACCACAGGCTGGATGAAGACAATTGCTCAGGAGAGGCTGCTGACTGAGCCACAGGGCAGAGTCCCAGCCCTGCCAGAAGGATGCATTTGGATTTTGCTAAAACGCATTCAAAGCACAATGCATCATTACCTGGGGTGGGTGAGGGAATTCAGGATAAAATGTCTGGGACTTGTCAGGGGAAGGAAAAGGGGATAAAGGGAAATTAAATAGTACTTTATTATATTATCTCCAGCTGGTTAACAAAACAAATAGCTGCTAATAGACCCAAAGAACAAGGAAGATTCTCAGAAAACTGTGCAAACGGTTTCAGTGGCTGAAGACCTGGAGGAACTCAGATTTAATCAAAACACCTATCCCCAATCTTAAGTCAGGTTGTCAAAAAGAGCGTCTTAAACTTTGGCTCTATGTTTAACTTTGAAAGTCAAAGACTCACAAAATCCCCAGTTTTGGGATCTTGGAGGGGAAGCTGAAGAGTCCCAAACTCAATTCGCTTTGCAAAACTCTTTCAATTAAAAAAATTAATTTCATGGCTGGCACCGAGTCACCACCTACTGGCCAGAGAGGAAATTACAAGTATTATAAACCGTACCTGGTCACACCCACCATGCTACAGGAACAGCCAGACCAAGGGAAAAGAGGTATTAACGACTTAGGGTGGTTAGCGTACAGAAAGGGACCCACGGAGGGAAATTAGGACAGACACTGGAGAATGACCAGTGTCTACACTTCCCAGGAGCTGCCGTGTGGCTTACCCTCAGATCTCCACTAAAAGTAGGATGACTAGGGCCTCGAATCCCCGCTTCATGCCCACATTAATCAAGCTACAAAGATGGAGAGCACAGGGAGCCGCGACAGGCAGCGGCAGCTTGAACTTGTCTTTCACCCGCTGGGGAAACGGCGTTGGATTGATTTGGTCCCTTGTTCTCATGCCCTTCAACATGCTGTTAACGCCAACGCCCCCAAACTACAAGTGGCTTCCTTCAGGCCTGTTGGCTGCAAAGCGTGGAAGCAGTGAGATCCCCCGAACTGATTTATTTCCTCTTGCCTCCACCGGGGTGTGCACCCGGTGGTCCTAGGACATGAACACTTATGATGTGAAGGACTGGTAAAACTCAACTTTATTAAGGTTTAAACAGGTTTAAATGCTACTGCACATTAAACACGTACGGACCAGAGCAGCTCAGTGGTGTTGCCTGGCATCACTCAGGCTGACACACCGCTGGGTGGAGGGGTCGCCTAGGGGTCTGGGTCCGGTGGGGCCTCCCATGCTAAGGCCTGCAGATCACACACCCCCTTTATTTCTCCTAAGTCCTTCCCTTCAAATTAGGATGAGCTGTCCTGGAGGAAATAACACAGCTGGACTTATAAACCAAAGAATATTCAGGGACCAAGACTGGTGGTTTCCTGTGACGAAGGAAACCCTGAAATCCTCCAGGACCCGGGAGAGAAGTTGTTCCGGTGTTCCGGGATCCACCAGCAGAGCTGTCTCCCTACCATGGCAGGTGGGTGTGTGGCACCCAGAAATCCAGGACCAAGTCTGGAGTGATGGAGGATGAGACACATCGGGGTGTACACGGCACAGTTTATCCCAGGAAGAACCACAAAGCAACATTATTCTGCAGCAAAAACAAGTCCAGCAAGTAGGAAGATAAAGCTAGGGGGGAAAATTGCTGAAGTATCTGGAACCAGGGCTTTAGAGAAAGACTATAGGGTTTGCAGAGCACAAGGTGTTTTTCTCAATGCATGAAACAGAGCAAATATTACTCCTTCAACTATCATTTTAAAAACCTGTCTTTTGTATCAATAATTAAAGGGGTAACGAGCATTCTGAACTGGAATTTGTTACTCGTTGGGAAGGCCTGTGCGGCTCCTTCAGCTGCCGTGTTTTTTAAACTGCGCGATACACGAGCAACGTGGCCCACCTTCCGACAGCATCCGGTGTGTTCAAAGATTTAGGGGATTTTGTCTTAAAACAAAAATGGGCTGGTAGATTTGTATTGGGAATAAATATACTACCTGGTAGAGAACAGAAGAGACTCAGGAAACTCCTGGGAGGCTCCCAGGGCTGACCTGGCCTCAGTGGTAAGCTTCCTGTTCACCTGGGGTTACTGATGGAGACACGTTTCCGACGGGAGGCTCCGGCTGCAGGACCAGTCCCGCACTGACAACCCAGGGCTGGGACCCCTCCACGAGGAATGAGGGGGCCATCCACTCTCCAATACTGTGCTGCACAAAACCTGGCCACCCCAGGGGGATGCGATCGGCATCTCTGAAAACTCTCCTCGGGGAGCAGGGAAAGGGTTGGGGAAGTGGAGTCACTGGGATTGTCTGGGGTCAGGGAAAGAGGCATTTTGGGCAACCAGTGCTGGGCAGGGGGCGGGTCACCTTCTCATGGGAGGTGACAGACCAAGTGCTAATGGCAAGTGGCGGTCAGCATCTGAAACCTGGTCGGACATCACTGTCATCTTTAAGGGAAAATCAGATTCTCCTGGCGTTTTCCATGTCAATAGTGGACTTGAGTGTGGGGAGTTCCCAGCTCATTTCTAGAAGTACAGATGTTTATGTGTGAGTGAAAGCAGAGGGGTTAAAAAGAAGCTACCTCGCCTCTGTTCTCTGCCCCCCTCCCGCCTGTGGGGCTGGCGGGCTCCTCTCTGCCCCCACCTGAGGGTGTCCGCACACCTGGGGCTCCCCTCAGAGCAGAGCCTTCCCTGTCCCTTCCTCGGGGAACATTCATTTTCCTTCCAAGCTTGCTCTCTGTCTAATCTTTCTTTCCACCTTAAAAACAAGAACAAAGTAGTCTTTCCTTGGCTTTGGAGAATTAAAGCCAAGCGAGCAACGAGTGCTAGTCTTCCTCTGGGGGACCCCGCTTAGGACGGTTTGGTATGGAGGCAGGACCGTCCCTCCATCGCCCACCTCTGCCCTGCTGCCGGCGTGTCCAGTTCTGTCCCGGCCTCTCCGGCAACCCCTTTCTCCCTGCATCCGTTCCATGGCACTGAAGGCTGAGGAAAAACAGGAGCGGGTGGGGCCAGAATGGGGCACTGACCTAGGAGATGGGCTGATTGCTTTTGCTTTTAAACAAGGAAGAAATGAAAAAGTGTTCATCACTGTTTGCTCGGCCAAACTCTGCCTTCAGGTTCGGACTTGGAACTTCCCCGCTTTGGTCATGTACTTTATGCCCTTAAAGGGTTTGTACTTTTCTCCATACATATCCAGACGATTCACTTTGAGTCCTGGAAGGAAGGAGGAATAAGACACAGGCATTATTCAAAAGAAGCAGGCGTAAACATATGCATGACTGAGACGTGATGTTGTATGCCAGAAACTGACACACGTTAACTGACTATACTCACTCAAAAAAATAGACAGGAAGAAGCAGGTGGGCAGAACCATGTAGGTTCCTTTCAAATCAAAGAGATTGGTGGCCCAGAGCAGGCTGAGACAGTGAGCCAGAAAATACGTGCCCTGATTTCTGTCACTTACAAGAAGCCGACAGTCTTCACTCTTGGTGGAAACCTGTTCCAACAAAAAAGCTATCCTTTTGGGAGACTGGCTCCTGGTGGGAAGGGCAGAAAGTTCTCTGCAGGCTGAAATGAGGGTAAGAGAAAAAATAAAACCCCTCCCTCCACATCTTTCTCAAGCTGAAGGGGCTGAATGCATGAATCAATAACAAAGTTAATGAACTCAGAATCAAATAAAGTAGAACTGAATGAATAAATTAATGATGGAAAATGATGGATTAATAGACGAATGCCTCCTCAGTTTTCTCAACGTACTAAGAAAAGAACATTTTATACTGTACAGAGCTTTTAAAGTTTATTAAGTGTCTTAAGGTGAAAGAGTTCACCGTTTAAATGAATTCTGATCACTTAAATTAGACCAGGTCTGTTCGTAAAGAAAACCAGAACCTTTGTGTACAGCTGAAGTCACCTCCCATCCATCTTGAAGGGTCGTTCTAAGGATTAGGTAAGAAAATAGATGACAAGAGCCTAAAACAGTGCCGGGCACACAGTGCACGCCCAGCGAGTGGTAACTACTGTTCTTCTTACTGCAGCAGGTACAGACCTCAGGAGACCAACTCAGATCAGCCCGAGGGTTCATAAATGGTAACAGAAATGTGAAATCTTCTGAAACTGGGGGAAAGGTAGGGAAGCCTTCTTTTCAGTGACCAGCTGAGAATGCGGATTCAGCCTCATATTGAAAGCTCTGGGAGCCCCACATTCACCACCCCAGGAGTACTCCACAGCAGCCTGCGAACACTTCTGTCTATCAATATGATTTCCTTCTGGTTTGTGTCTTGGACACTTTTATTCACATCACTCAGGCCAGCCTCAAAGTAAGGATTATAAACTTGCCCAGAAATGTGCCAGGAAAGACTTTACTAAAGATTACGTATCAGGGAATGAAAGCAAACTTTGGAGACAGGGGACGCCCCCCGGGAGGCCTTCTGACATCAGTGCCTTCAAGGCCCCCAAGACTGGAGGCCACTTACCGGAAATGGCCAACTGCTGGATCTTAAACTGCAGGTTAATTGTGGGGTTCTCGTCTGGTTTGGAAGCTCCGGCCTGAAGACTCATGGTCCCCTTCAAACTTGGTAGCTTTTGGGGATTGATTTTTCCTACATCCCAAGACAGCATCTCCAAAGAAACGGGAAAGGACAAGTTACAGTGGAATCTTTATCCGGGGTGCCTGAGCTCAGGCCTCTGTTCACAGTAGCACAAGCTGCCTTTGCGGCATTTTCCAGCAGAGGACACTATTGTTACCATATATTATCTTGAGGAGAAAACAATGCCCCTTGATCAGTCTCCCCTTTCCTTCTATTTACCACATCAGCAACTCCAGCCTCCTGCTCAGTCTCCTACCTTGGTGACAGGGTCAAACGTGTGTGTCCCCTGAGACGGAGTGAGGCTCATGTTCAGGACCCCTTTGGGCATCTGGCTGGTGACAGTCACGCCCTCTATGGTCTTCCCCATGGTCTGCTTAGGGCCCACCGTTATTTCAAAGCGTCCCAGGGAACTACTGTCCCGGAAACTGATGCTGTGTTTGACATACACTGGAATTGCCACCAGACTGGAAAAGAGAGATACAAAAGGCCCCGTGTCATTAACGTACCGGAAAAGTGGCAACATTTCCCTTTTTTTTTCCCCCTGCTGGGAACTTTTCCTCCCTTCCCTACTACCTGTCTTACAAAGTAAGCACAAGAAAAATCCACAGACATCTTTTTTTCTTTTTGTAAAGCTAAGATGCTGTCTAGTAAGTAAACTAACTCTTCCAATGATTTCAATAATATCAACAAAACCAGGGGGAGGGCAGAGCTCAGTGGTGGCATGCATAACTAGCATGCATGAGGTCCTGGGTACAATCCCCAATACCTCCACTGAAAAAAAAATTTTTTTTAATAAATAAATAGACCTAGTCCCCCTCCCCAAACAAACAAAACCCCAAACCAGAGCGTATACTCAGTGTCCTCTGAGGAAGGCATGCCACACAAAAATGAGGGGTCACCTTTGTTTTCCTTTGTGACATGCGACCAATGACTTTTTGTACTTGGGGGAGTCACGCATACCTCCTGGACCTTTCACAATTTGTTAAGTGTGCTTTTACCCGGAGAGTCTGATCCTTACAAAAACCCTAAGAGGTAGGATAGGTCCTCACGGTTTGACAGAAGAGGAAATCGCGAAATCACAGAATAATCCTAACGTCATAACGGTTCTCAGCATCTGGTGAGTACTTCCTGTGTGCCTGCTGGTACTACCCTACATGTTTTCCATTATTTCATTTTAACCCTCCAGGAAGAATGCAGTGGGCACTGCTCCTGTCCTGATGATATGAATACTGATGCCCTGACACTTAACTGAGGTTGACTGAGGGCCCAAGGTCATGTAGCCCAAGTACTGCAGGTGCGGCTTAAGCATGAGCAGTCTGATGCCAGAGCCTGTGCTCTTAAGCGCCCAGGTATTTCCTTAAACCATTTATTTTGAGGCTTCGGTGGCTGTGAGCTCTCCTGGCGCTGTTTCATCTGCACACCGTTCACGCTACATCTTCCACTGAAAGCCCTTAGTCTCCACATTAAACAGGATGTCTGAAACCAAAGATCACTAAATTTTATGATTTTTATAGCATAATTTGTTGCTTTTTGAGGGGTTGGAGGGATTGAGTACAGACAGGTAGGTGTTCTCAGATTCCAATTTGAGAAAATAAATGTTCTTATTTAGGCATATGATAATAACAAAAATAACAAAAGCAAAGTGAATGAGAACGCACTTGGGGTTAAGCATTATTCAGATTCTTATTTAATCCTCATAACCAGGTACTTTCATCATTTTCGACTTACAGACACGCAGACAGACGCGGAAAGAAGCAACCCGCCCGAGGTCACCCGATTAGTCAGGACAGAGGCTGGAATTAGAGCCCACGTCACCCCAGAGCCTGAGTCCCCCGTCACTACGGATACTGTTTCTGCGCACACGCATGCGCACGCGCGCTGGGTCCCGAGGACCACTTACTTCTGGGCGCTGACGTGGTAGGAGAGCAGGCGGAAGTTCCCGTCCGGCGGGATGAAGGAGAGGATGCGCTCGGACTCCCAGCGCTTGAAGCGGACACAGGGATGGAAGCTGACGTCGTCCAGCAGCCTGGGGTTCTGGGGTGACAGGCAGCAGTTAAAACACCCGTGTTCCTCTCTGGCAAGTAAGCGAGCTGCTGCTTCCCTTAACACAGATTCTGCGGCTACTTCTAGAAAAGTCCAGCCTGACGCCAGCTGGGTGGCCGTCCTTGCTGACTTCCCCTGGGTTCATCCTCTTCTCGCCCCTCTGCCTTTCGGGAAGCATTTGATTTCCCATCCCCAGAACTGACCCTCTGGCCCGGGGTCTTACCATGAAGGAGAGCGTCAGGTCGGGCATCCCGGTCAGCTTGACGCAGGCATCAATCACCCCCTGGATCTCCGCGGTGATGGTGGAACCTGGGCCGAGGAAGACGGAATAAGGTAAACCCCTCCCCGTCCTGCCCAACTACCATATTTCCTCCCTCCCTCCTCCTTGGACTTTCTCTTTTCCTCCCCGAGTTATTTCCTTCCTTCTTCCTTCACTCCCCTGTTGTCTTTCTTCTTCCCTTCTGTCCCTCCATCCAAATCATCGGCCCAATCCAGCTGTCCATCCTTTGAAACGTTTCTCAGCTGCACATCCAGTAGGAGACACGCTGATGCAGTAGTGGGGGTAAGAGAGCCGTGAGGTGGGTACCAGCCTAAAGCAGTTTTCCATCTAGTACCAGAATCGAACAGAACATCACTGTCTCAAAAGACTGAATTTGGATCAGAAACCGCTCTCCCTCAGGACCTAGCCTAGCCGCCCAATGGGTGGGATCTTTTGGTCTTTACTAGCAGGGTCTCCCTGCCGCAAGACCTGCTACCCCCTTAAACCTGCTTTTCTCGCCTTCTCCCTCGTGTCTCCTGCGGGTTTCCCTCTGCACAGTCTGTACAGGTCCACACCTTTTCATGGTTCTGAACTTTTCCCACGAACCTGCCACGGTCTCCTTGGGTCACTGGACCTACTTCCTAAGGCTGCAATGTTCACTGCTGGTCAGTTACTTCCTCAGCTTTTCCCCAGGTCAGCCTCACTCTTGCCAGTAGAACAGCTCCACTGGGACGTCACCTAGGCACTTCAAACTCTACGTGCCAAAAAGTGAGTCTGTTCTCTTTGTTCCTGGACCTGCAACTCCTACGTGCCTTTCCTTCATGAGACCATCCACTCCATTGCCTCGGCCAGAAGCACAGATGTATCCTTGACAATGACCACCTCCTTGGCGCCCACATCCCAACAAGGACCCATTCCCATCTTTCCTGTGACTTGGGTCCTTCCATCTCTCTGTCCCTCTCCATCCTCACCACCACTGTGGATGTCTGTATCCTGTCCTGGACTCGACAGCCTCCTGCCTCCCCGGCCCCCAGGCTGCCCCACCCAAGCTGTGCTGCCCATGGAGGCCAGACGGCCACTCCTAGACGACAAATCTCCTCAAGTCACTCCTTATCTAGAAATTCTTCAGTTGCTCCTAATGGTGCTCCTGAAAGTGGCACACGAGACCCTTCATGATCTGGCCAGCTAGGGCTTTGGGGGTTTTGCTTTTTCACTTTTTCACTGAGTTAGAACTCAGAGTGAAATGCATGAACCGTCGTGCGCG